CATTTTTTTTTTTTTTTTTTTTTTTAAATAAGAGAATTTATGATTTTAAAGAGAGAAAAATCAGGATCCCTGAACACAAGTTTCTCTCTTACATTCAGGGATTGGCCAGAAGTGTGGCTTGGGGCTGGAGCTAGAGCTGTTTCTACTTCCTAGTAGAGGCCAGGGCCAGAGTCATCATGTCCTCTGTGCCCTGAGCCAGAGCTAGAACCAAAGCTGCCACATAGGGCAAGTAGCAGTGGGGGAATGCAGAGGGAACAGGTGGTGCAGAGGTGTGGGAGGAGGGAAGGGGTGCTGGCAGCAGGGTGGGGTCAGCGATGGGGAGAAAACAGGTGGCAGAGTACATTTTTATGCAAGAATTACATGATCATTGTACTGTCATAAGCAGTCAAAGATTTCTGCTTTGTACTCCTATATGCATTTATCACCAAAATAGAAGATAATCCTGCAAAATAAAATGGTGGATCTTTCTCTGTTTTATTGAGCCAAGAAAAGCTAAAGAGCATTCAGTGCTTTGCCAGCATCAGGTGGCATGAAAGCTGCCGTGGAGGACATCTTCAGCCAACTATTTATCAGGAACAAATTCCACTGAGATTTAGTACAAGTGTACATTTGGAAATAACTGATTATGCTTTGAGGGATGACAAATTAGCCAAAGTGTTTTGTGTACAAATCAACAAGACACTGGTAGGGATTCAGCACACCCATAAATAAGATCATATTGATAAGTTATCCCAGGGACTAATTAACCGGATTTCACTGTACATGAAATGCTACAACCTGGTATCAAATTATGTATGAAAGTGTTTACCTCATTGGCTCTTTTAATTATTTTGTCATCTATGTCCGTTATCCCCATCACCATGATGACTTCATTTCCAAAAAATTTAGTTAGAATTCTTCGAATAATATCAAATCTAACATAGGAACTGAAAGAGAAAAACAAAGACTTAAAGATGTATCGATGGTCATTTCCAATAATGCAATTAACAAACAATATTGAAACATCTATTAAAAAAAATCTCTGATTAACCTAACAATATCTATATGAATTTTGCAGTTATAGAGAAGTAGAAGGAAAAAAAACAAGCAATGACCTTTAAGAAATACACAATGCATACATAGAATGCTCTTCCAGAACTAGTTGTATTCTGGAAAAAAAAAAGTTATGCAAATCTCAGTTGAACTGCTCTACCCTCTTCTGGCACATGTGACACATTACATCAATTTTTCTAAAGTAATTCTTTTGCTGCACGCATCTCTTTAAAACAATATATGGAAGAGAGTTTTCATCCTAATGTTAAGCAGAGGCCTTGCACTTCAAATTAATACATATCATATGTAGGAACTCTATATTCATCTACTAAAATTAACACCCTGATTACATTCCGAGTCAGATTTGCAATGACAATGCAGAAGTAAGCAAAATATATCAATATCACCATGTTAAAATTGCATGTTAAAAAACAAAAGGGCTAAAAACATATTGGCCTTAAGTCACACATATGCCACAGATCTTTTTGGCTACTAAGAAACAATGTTTTAAGGGTTTAAGAGATTATTGTTTAAAGTTATTCAGAGACTGCCTCACAAATTCACTGTATTTATATTTGCAGATTTTATTAATCTATAATTGATATGCCCCAGGAAACCATTTGCTACTGCAAGAACCTCTGGTCATATTTCCAGAGATGTGTCTTTGTTTAATCCCTCCCTTCCTTGGCCTTCACTTATACCCATGATTATAGCGTCTCAGCAAAAGGCTCTCTTTGGCAAGGTTTGAACATCTTCAGCTCTGACCGACTTCAAAGAAAATTGAAGATATCGCATTCAGAGGGACTAGGTCCAGAAGGATATTCCCAAATATCTGTTTTCCATTTTATCAAGCATACTGAACACACCAAATCCTACAAATAGCATAATCAGTCAAAACAAACTAGAATAAATGAACTGTACAAAGAGAATTGTGTCCCTCCACTCAACTGCATGGATCACATGAATGCATTTATATGTAAAGTACCCACACTACCCTCCCATGAAGAAGTTATTTTAGTTTTTGCTGGAATTGCACCATATTAAAATATGCTCTTAGAATGTAACACACAATGTTAAGAAACAAGTCATATTAATGAATCCTCAGCTCATGCTAGGTAGAATCCTAATCTATAAGACTACTTGGTTTAAATCTATCAAAACACAAGAACCTCAGGCCCATATCAAAGGGATCCTGTCAATATCAAAACACAAAAACTTAAAAATTAGATCTACCAGTGTTGTGGCTTCCTCTATCAGAACATGCACAAAGGTTGTATTGCCCCGCTCTGCTATGCAGCTCCATTCCATTTTGGAACAAACCTACTGCAAGTATGCAGAAACCCTGCCCTCTTGGCATTTCTGAGAATAGGATTCTTTTATACCTCCACAGTGAATGTGCTGACAAGAAAGAAAGCAGATGGGCAGAACTGTGCAACTGGTACAACTGATACCTGTAACAGGAAGGTAGGTTGTAGCCATGTTGGTCTAAGGACATAGGCAGACAAGAAGCTTGTCCGCCTGTGAAAGGAAGAAGCCCATCTCCTGGGTTTCTAATCACTTAGGATCACCCAACTGAGAAGCTGGATTCTAACCACGTTGCAATTCTCATGTCAGTAAATTGATACCCGTTTGAGAATTAAGAAAAGAGTTGGGTTGGGCTTTTTTATTTTATATTTTTAATACACAAATGCAGCTCCTTTGATATGATTTTCTTAAACAGGCATAAGTGGCATTATACAAAAGCACAACAACCACCTTTTTGAGCCTAGCAGGTGCAACATACTAAACAAATGAGGTTGCTTGTGCGACTTTTTAAAACAAAAAGAAACAATGTAATTCTTTCAGGAATGCCTGATGTATATTTAAAAAAATGAAAATTAATATATTTTAAGAGTGTTTATGTACATGAACTTCACAGGCCACAAAAGATTCAACAGAACCAGACTGACAGCAAAATTTCTCTTCATGTTGTTGCATGGCTTGGCTCACACACACTGTTCTCATTAGTTCCCAAGCATCTTTCCCAATTAGTTGCCTGTCTCATGAACCCCTTTCAGGAGAAAAATCGACCAGCAGCTTCTAAAGCTGCACTTCAAATAAAAAGAACTCTGCAGTCAAGAGACAACTATAAAGGAGAAATATGAAGGCCGCTTGCAGACATTAAAATTAAAAAATAAATAAATAAATAAAGTGGTGCTTTACTATGAACTTAGCATGCACCCACGCTGAGCCCAGCACATGCCCAGAAGAGGCATTGCATTACTTGAACCCAGATCACTCAACATCCATATAGGTCAGGTGCTTTGGTTGAGGCTTTTCTGGCTCTTATCTAATAGCTGACTGAATCAGCTATTGGAGAGAAGTACCAAAAAAAGTCCTGATGAAGTGCACAACCCATACAGACACTGCAGAGCCAGGTCAAAGTAACACGCTGCTTCTTCCAGTAAAGCATGGTTTTTGTTGTTTTGTTTTTTATTTAACACCCGCAAGCAGCTGAAAATCACAAGTAGTCAAGTTAACACTTCAATTATGTCTTAACTAAGCAAAAGACTTGAGGGACATGATTTCATAAGAAAGTCACTGCTGACAAGCGCAAGATTTTTCCCTTTGAAAGAGTAAACGAAGTTTATCATATACAACAATGGAGTTTAAATTCATTTCAATGCTCTAAGAAAAAAAAGAGACACACACACTGATGCCACTGTGGACAGTTTAATTAAACAGTTCAATTAAAGCCTCTAATAAATACACAGCAAACAAAATATGAGGATGCAAAATGGAAGGCAGAGAGTTGCATTATAATCTCTATCAATAAATGGTACACTCACATTTGGGATGCAGCATTCTGGTCTACCCACCCTCCCCAAAAACAGAATATACCAGGTTCAAAGATGAACCTGTGATGAAAAGAGAGGCAAGGTGAAACTTCCAGACAGGGAAAGATTGAAAAGACTGGAGCTGTGTAGTTCACAGAAGAGAAAAGGGACTATATAAAAGGAATGGAGAGGGGAACAAGGGTGCTTTTTTATATACCCCCTGCACCAAAGGCCTGCAGAGGGAGGAGGAGAAGAAACAAACAACAGATGATAACAAAAGGTGGAGAGGAGGAAGCCAAAAGAAAATTAGATTGAGGAAAAGAAAAACATTCTGAAAAAAATCAAAAAGGGTGAAATTCCCCGTGGTGCAAAAGGCGTGCTGAAGGCCAACTGTGCAACTTAAGACCCATTCTTAAGCAAGATAAAAACAGGCAGAACAGACAGAGATGGGTCTCCACACCTGGGCTGAAATAGGACAAAAAATGGGAACTGGGATAAGGATAAGGAATGAAAGGATAAATAAAGGTGGTAGCTTTAATAGTAGCTTTAATACTGAGATTCAGTACACTTGAATATACACAGCTTGGCCCCATCCCCTGCAAGCAGCACTGCCTGAGCCACACCTACCAAGCACCGAGTCCAGCCCCGAGAGCAGTGCTGCTTTGGCTGTGCCAGTCGAGTCTGGCCCCAGCCCCTGCAGCCGGTACATGTCCACCTCCCAGGTGCCTGGCCCGTACAGAGGGCATGCAGAGGCCGATACAAGCTGACCCCATATTTCTGATCCAAGAAGTTAGGATTTTTGTAGATCTGGTGTAGAAAGTGACTTAACTTCTTGAATCAGAAATATAGAATCACCTTATGCACTGCATCAGCTTGTACCCCATGAAATACAGGAACTCAAGTGTGCTAAGGTCTATGTGATACCAGTTTAGAAGTGAGCTACTGAAATGTATGTTTTAATATTCTACTGAACTAGATGTATACATTTAACATTTGATTGCAGGGGACTAATATATATTATAATTCTTCTGCATTCCAATATATGTATTAATGCTGGAATGCAGAAGTTACATTTTCATAAATCTTCTGGCAATGTACAACTTTAATATTACCAGGATGCTACTAGATGCTTGGTTTTGCTATATGTCCTTCAATAACATGTACCTCAACACTCTCTCAAATCTTAGCACTCTCAACCTGCAAATTAAAAAAAGGTCTCTGAGGGTTGCAGTCATTCTTCCTTTCATTAGCACTAGATCAGAGAAAATTTCTAAAGTGTTTTTCCTGTTCTAGTGTAGGATTAATAATATAAAAAAAAGTAAGACCCACTACCGCAAAATAAAGTAGGTGGAAGAGCCTAAACTGAGTTGCTGGTGGAATAGTCATTTATTGATACAGTACATTTAATATTTTTCCTCAAACAGTTACATTAAGTTATTCTTTCAAAATGACCAGCTTTAGTGTTTAAATTCCAACAGCCCTAAATAAGTTTCACTCCTAGGAGCTGCTATTTGAAAGTTAACATATAACATGCTTCATTTTTAACCCACCACTACAGATAAAGATGATACTTAAAAATGAACCATATTTAAGTTAAAATGATTCTTGCACTGTTTCCTGATTCTAACCCAGATTAGCCACCCAAATCCTAAAATCATTCTCAGAACTGGAAATAACAGGTATAATATGCACAACATGTCCATCCCAACAAGAAGCAAGGGGGGCAGGAGTGTCC